ATCATCATCATCATCATCATCATCATCATCATCATCATCATCAACCACCACCACCCCAGGTGAGGAAGCCAAGCAAGTATGGAGCAGCCAATCCCTGGTTGCCATGGTGATGAGCTGGCGGAGTCAGGTGGTGTCGCCACATCCGGAAAACAGCGGGCCTCGTAGACAGAAGAGTCTGCCCCAACAACACAGGAAGACACCACGCAGAAAGAAGGTCAGACGATTTATACGTCATTTCCATAGACTTTTATAAAAGTAACCAACATTGTGCATTCTGACGTAATATCCGTTCACCGTGGAACGCCTCATTTGATTCTACATGTATTTGAAACCAAATGGAGGGCAAGTGGGAAAGGTAGCGAGTGTACTCGACAATAGCGAGACTGCTGCTTTTTCTTTCATTCAAGCGTCCATAGTGTGCTCAAACATAAAAAACACGTACCGTATACAATATGATTATACTGTGTTATATACATTGTTTCGTCTGTGTTACATGTGTGTGCCATGCCTCGCACGTGTGTCGTCAGTGTCAGCTCTCCCACTGTGTCAAACCACGTTTGTGTCACGTCTTTGTCATGTCACGTCTGTGTCCCGTCCACAGGGGGCAGAGGTCAAGTGGAAGGCCAAGGTCGTGGAGGACGACGAGGTAGGCAACACGGCGGCGGGAGGACTGACCAACACAGCGGGGGGCGGGGACGGTCAGCGAACTGACCCGGGTAAGTTGGAAGGGGGGCGGATGGGGATAGGAGTGGGTGGGGGGTGGAATCATCATCATCCTTGTAACACCTCTAATCTTCTGGCGCTCATATGACCTTATGCAGTTGCGAGCGCCGTAAAACCTCTACTAAAACTAAACGGATATAATGAACACCACAGAGAGAGTTAGAACCTGAGAAACTAACCCGTTTTTTAACAGTTCACGATAGACAAGACCATGCTGTGATTTACACAAAAATATTATAAAAATGTACTTTTTCGTACATGAACCATGGAGAACAGATCAAGACTCACTGTTCATTCCTTTTTCTCCTCTTCCTTCTCAAACCCCTACAATTCCCTTTCTTCCAGCTCCTCCTTTCCTTTGTCATCACCGTTGTCGCTTTCATCATCACCGTCATCATCCTAGTGAAATAGATTTTATGCACATTGTTAACACATTGTATAAAAACTCAAGTAGAGTTTCGATTTAAATAAACGTTTAAAAAAATTATTCTACGTTTCGCTTGTTCTGGCTCTATCAGAAGGATTACTTTACAAATCATCATCATCATCATCGTCATCATCATCATCATCATCATCATCATCATCATCATCATCAT